CTGGGGTTCACGCAAACCGTCTAGTGTATTCTGATTCCTGACCTAGTCGCTGCAGAGAAATGAAATTGAGCAGAAGCACTAGGTGGCGCCAGCTGGCTAGAACATTCCAGGCAAAGAGGTAACATTTCCATGGAGACAATCAGGTGGTGGATCCTCTTCCTGAAAAGTTGCATAGTGCACTTTTAAGCAAGAATAAAAGTCCAAACATTATGAGACAAGACAATTCTAGGCCCAAACCAACCTATAAATGTCTTATTACATACAAATAAAGACTCAACTGAACCGATATCATAGAACCGATACCCGATCCAGCTATTTTTTCAGTATTGCCACTGATATTCAATACCACTATCAGTATCAGTATCAGTATCAGTATCAGTATCGGTGCATCCAGAGTTTCCCATAATGGATTTTGCTTGACTTAAACATTGTAAAGAATGAGTCTGGTGAAGGCATATGAACTTTAAAAACACAGAGGAGCTTCATGGGTCACTACAGGACAATATAAATACCATAAGAGCACTAACTTATTGATTTAAATGGGAGCAGTAAGACCTGATGCACAGATTTCAGCACTAGTCCATAAAATAGTGATTTAAGGCCCAGAGCAGGAGTGAGCTGTGAGGACGCAGAATTATGAAATTGTACAAGCTGCACTTATTTAGACAAAAGGATGTGCTGTGCAAAGAACAAAACAACTTGTATTTTTATAGAATACTCCCAGGAACATGTTCTGAAATACATCCTATTATTAGTCAGTATTATTCAAATTTCTTCTCTCAAACTTTCATGCTCCTGGAGTTGTTTACCCAGAATACCTAGAAAGTTAAGTTTTACTTTTTTTTTTTTTTTTACATGGGTGGGACGAGACACAATTTTCACAAGACGAGACACACCATGAGACAAGACGATTTTATTAATAATATTAATAAAGTAGCACAATCCATTTCACAATTTTGGCTTCATTATTTGCATTTATTTTATGTAATACATAAAGGTGCACTAAGGCTACGTTCAGACTGCAGGGCTTAACGCTCAATTCCAATTTTTTTGTGAAATCTGATGTTTTTGCAAGGTCGTTCACATTTGCAATTAAATGTGACTTGTATGCGATCGACTGTGTGAACAGTAAACGGCCCAAAAGTGTCCCGCATGTGCACTGGAGACACGATGACGTCAACCGCAGTGAGCGTCTCTGTGTTTACGGAAGTTGTCCAAACATGGACACGAGCATTGAGCACCTGGAGATTTTAAAGTTCCTCTCGTACCGGAGCCAGAACATGAACAACTTACTTGTTTTAAAGAGGAGATTAAGAAGGAGAAGGATGAGGTTTTTTGGCCATGGTGTTTTGTGGGACAGCGGCAGTGACGTCTGTTGAAAGGAAACGTGTGGATGTGGAGACGTAGCCAAGAGTGGTGAGTGGTGATGTGCTTCACTTCAGTGACATGGAGTTCATTAACAATTTTCGGCTACTTCAGTGCAGAATAGTGACGTTTGTGGCTTGTTGATAACGTGTAGGTCTAATGAATGCGCTTTGGCCGTTCACACTGAAGTCACATGTCAAAAGATCAGATATGTATCTGTTTCAGGAGCACATATCCAAGTGGTCTGGGTCACATTTGAAAAAATCGGATCTGTCATTAAAAGATCGGATACAGGTCACATAGAAGTCAAAAAATCAGATTTGGGTCACTTCAGCCTGCAGTCTGAAAGCAGCCTATGTAACTTTTTGGTTGGGGGCCCGTCACCTGTTTGTTTCTGTGGAGATGCCACTGCTCTGTCTGGAATGTTCCACAGTATGACATTAAACAGCTCTACCTTACATTTATTCAATAACAGTTGGCTTTATAACTCAAAAATACTCAGCAAAACAGACATTCTGAATGTGAGTGGAGTCGCCTCTCCACAGATCACAGATGATGATAGAAAGGTTTAATGTCATGGAGAAAAGCTTTTGACGGACCCTTCACCTTTAAGTGGTCATTGTACTGCCTTTTGGAACTACAGCTTCTCCAAGTGCATACTTCACCAGCTCTTGACTCTTTTTTGTCCAAGCCAAAGGTAAATTCAGGATTAAAAAATTTCACCAGATCATTTTTCTCATGTGTGTACAATCTTGTGTCAATTTTGTCTTGTCAGATCTTGTGCCACAAGATCTTGTCCCATCCCTACAAACTAGTGAGTAATGAAGTACTTTTAACGGGCTGTGACTTGCTCTCACACTAACAGTCAAAAGTCTGAACACAATGTCTCATTCATTTTTTTCTCTTTTTTTTAACTACTTTCAACATCTTACTAGTAGATCCTCACAAAAGACATCAAATGAATCAAGACAAATGGACTTATTTAACACAGAAAAAAGTGACTAACTTAAATAATATTTTTCTACAGAACGAATGGCAACTAATTTGAGGATTTGGTTATAAAATATTTAAACACATTTTTTTTTCCTTTACATAATTCCATATATCTTACTTCATATATTTGATGTCTTCTGTATGTAAATAAGATGTAGAGCGTTGTAAACATAAAGCAAAAAAAAAAAAAAAAAAAACACTGAATGACTGGTTGTGTATATTTTAACCAGATAATGATAATAAAAAAAATAAGCTGATATGCTTGAAGCTTCTAATTTATCTTGCCACTTGTCTGTAGTGTCTAGTGACAATAAAAAAAATAATCTGGCAGCACAATAGCTAAGTGACCAATACAGGGGTAGGTTGTGGGTTCAATTCCCAGGTTGCCCAGCCTTTCTGTGTGGAGTTTGTATGTTCTCCCTGTCTGTGGGTGTTTTTTTTTTGGGCACTACAGCTTCCTATCGAGGCTGGCGCCATCTACTGCCTCTGCTCAATTTCATTTCTCTCCAGTGACTAGATCAGGAATCAGAATACACTAGACTGTTTGCCAGCATCCCGGAAGTTGTAGACCACGCACACCGGTCCCTTTTCTGGTACAGCACAACAGTAAACAAAAGAGTCGAGATGATGTAGACGAAAACAGACATTCTGTGTTGGCAACGATTCCCAAGATCGAGGATTTAAAGCTGAAACAAAAAGAATGTTTGGTGCATTTTATCAAGGGGAAAGATGTTATTGCCGTTCTTCCTATGAGATTTGACGCATTACAAACGTCATGACCAAATAACAGCAATTGGTTAAATAAAAAAAGTACACACCTACTGTCAAGCAAACAAATCCTAATACTGCGAGGAAAGACGAATCAGGCTAACAGTTTCCCCCATCAACCCAAAACATGCACAACAGGTCAATATAATAACAATCATGGATCAGTTTTATATCCTTCTGAGACCCGGCCCATTTCATTTGTGTCCTTTGTAGTGGACACTGAGTTAACCAGTCGATCTTTTAAGTGTTTTGAGGTCGACTCTTAACTAGATTTCTCTGATTAAATAGGGCTGGGGGATTATAGGATACTATGCATGTCCAGGACACAAAATTTAACTCAACAGGAGTTGGGAGTTAGTTTCTGGCTGCACTTTGTCAGAGATGTTGGGCACCAAAAAAGCCGTTATTGTTCGGTTGTTAACTTCACATGGATTTAACACCAAAATGTCCCTGGTGTCCATTACAGAGGACTTGTTACAAAATTATTAAAAAAAATAAAATAAAATGAACAAAGTTTAAATGCTAAGGTGTTTACCTCCAAATACATAGAAAATCACAAAAAATAGCCAACATGTTTCGACCTTAACTGGTCTTCATCAGGGCTATTAAGCCCAGTTAAGGTCGAAACATGTTGGCTTTGGCCATTCAAATAAAGGCCTTTTAATTATATTTTTCCTCGTGCGATGTGTTCATTTTTTCTACTGTTTTGGAGGGCCTGGAATCCGTTGTGTCTTGAGTTTTGATCCTTTTTTCCATGAGCACCCTCTATTTGCACCTACTGATTGGAACACCTGCAGCAAACAGCCACATTTTTGTTCTACCTACACCACAATGTTTACTAATTCAGTTCAGTTACTTTTTGCACTGGGACGAGATCTCGTGCCACAAAACCTCACAAGACAAAAACTGACACGAGATTGTGTGCACACTATGTTTTAATGTTTGGATTGGATTAAAAAAAATGTAGTTAACTGGTGAGCTGCGTTTTTTGAGAAGCTGTTGTTCCAAAAATCACTGCTACCATTACAGCAAAAATATTAAATAAAGTAATGGTGATGGTGAAAGTAATGGCCAAAACTGGGAACTGGATTTCACAATTGTCAAAGTCTCGTCTCGTTTCGTTCTCGTAGATCCATCTCGTGCCTTGTCTCGCATTGTGGAAATTCTATCTCGTCCCACCTCTACTTACTTTAGTTTATTTGTTTATTTATCAGGGACAGTGCACATGAAAACTACATAAAAACTGACCTACACAATGAAGTCAAACATCTATGAAGGTTATAGCAAGATAGCTCATTTTCAGCTTCACTTTCTGGACAAGCCGATGTTGTAAATGGAGCACATGCCAGTGTAGTACAGTGTAGATGAATGCAGTCATTCATCCAGTCAGTCAAGTAAAACTTTAAAAGTATAAAATTAGAAAACTATAGTCCCTTTCGCTCTCAGTGACCACATCCAGACACATATTTACAGTTCATGTTGCTGTATTCTTGTCTTTGGACGACCAAGATTTTCTTTAGTAGACTGCAGTCCTCACTGACCCTGGGATTTTCATGGCTCACTCCTTTCAATTATAAGACAGCAGCATTGTCAGGATATTCTTATTTATTTCATTGAAACTATAGTAGAAGCTGTTGAATCATTCCATTGTGAGTTGTTTGTGGATAGAGATAAATCCTTCACTAAAATGACTGTGCCCCTGAAAAATATAACTGCAGACCCCTCTCTGAATGTGTTTAAATTAGCTTTCAATCTCAACCACCAAAACAGATAGTAATACTGCATATATTATTTTTACCCTGTAGCTGAACAGTGCTTATTATTATATATTAAATAAAATACAAACTGGATGTGTCTGTCCCTCCACAGTCACCATGAGTTCGGTACCAGTCAGTGTCCTGCTCCTGGTGCTCCTGAGCCTGCCCGCTCTCCCCGAGGCCAAGCGCCAGCCCGGGCAACCCAAACCAGACAAACCCCGTCAGCCCCCGCCCTCCACAGCGCCCCCCACCAGACGAGCCCGGAACCGCTCTGTGCCCAGCTCTGGAGAACTTAGCACCAAGGACGGCCACCGCTGCATCTGGCAAACATCTGGAGAAGGTCTGGTGAGCCTCACGGTCAACTGCACTGTTGAGAACAAGGGAGAGCAGCCCAGGTAACTATTACATACATTTTATGGATCGCAGTATGGGTTAGTTGGGTAAAGGAACACTGTGTAAGTGCAACTTTCTGGAGGAGGCACGTCACCTGCATGATTCCATGGAAATTGAAAGTTAAAACCATAGTTTGGAATATTCCTCACTGATACAGATTTTTTAACAAAAAAAATCCACACTTCACACCCAGGCCCTCCGCTGCTTAGCTTCTGAGATCTGACGAGATCAGGCACTGACATGCTGGTCTGTCCACAAAACGATGACATTCATCACTATCTCCTTTCTCTGTTCACAGTTACTACTGGTGCAGATACGCTGGTAAACCCGACCTGTGCGAGGCTTATGGGGTCAAGTCCAGCCAGTACTGGAAGCAGCTGGTGGGAAAACTGAAGAAGAGACAAAATGCCTGTGAAGGAGAGAAGGTCCTGAAGGCCAAGACCTGCAAAAAGGCTCCAGCAGAAGCCCACATGAAGCTGGCCCAGCACAGCACCGAGGAGGAGAGGAAGGGGAGGAAGAAGGGAGGGGCCACCAAGAGCTCAGAGCCGGGCAAAACAGATCGGAGGAAGAAGAAGGAGGAGGGTGGGGTGGGCTCAGAGGAGGTGAAGAGCTCTGCTGAGAGGACTGATCTTCACGAGGACGGCATGCTCAGTGACATGGCCCCGGTCCAGAGCTTCTGTGGCGATGGCTGGCACTCCGTCTGCTCTTTCTTTGTCAGGTTCTTTGAAGGATGAAGGTTCTGTGGTCTCCTATCTTAAAATGGTCCTCTTATGCAAAATTGACTTTTTTGCCCTCAAACCATGTTATAGTTGTTTCTCATTTACCTCCTGTAAATTGTTAATTATCACCACCACCGATACATGCCCACGCCGACGTCAGCTCCTATTGGGCAACAATGTTTTCTAACACAGAAGTAACAGCAGACTTGTTTCTTTTATTAAGTCATTTTAAGGGGAATATTACGATTTAAAATGTGCAAATTTTTTTATTATAAAACAAAACATTGAAAGGCATTGGTGCTCCCTCTGCTGTCAGCAACAGGAATGAACATTTAGAAAGTAAACAAATGAAGGTCTCATCCCCCTGAATGCTTTGCTAATAGAACCATGTGTTGGATGTCAACATGATTTGACTGTACAATGAGTCCAGAGATGATTTATGGACTTTAAAAAAAGCGCTGGACAAGTCTGAGATTTTATCTATGATGGTACAATCTGGGCATAATGTGAAAAGTGCTCAGAGAAGATGACTCATACATACAATATAACATGGATAAAAGGTTAAAAAAAAAAAAAAAAGTCAGTTTTGCATAGTAAGTATTTTCTGGTTTGGTTCTGAAGCTCTCAGAAGGCTTCTCTGTGAACAGCTTCAGTCCTTCAGACCAACTGAACACAAAAAGAACGAGTAGTTGGTTATGATTTTGTGTTTCACCTCACCCATAAAACTTAAGTGATTTTGAAATTTAACTACTAACAACTAAAGACACATTTTAAACATATTTTGGTTCAAAGTGTTGAATAGACTCTGGGGTTTCTGTTTGTTATTTATCCCATGCAGCAGGCAAGTCAGGCCAGCCAAGATTCAAGATCCAACCAGATTCAAACTGAAGTCAGTCCCATTAAACCACAATATTTGACCCTCCATCTTTTTTGGCCCCACTGTTTTGGAGATGTTCTGCAGACTGTAACTTCGTGTGAAGAGGAGCTTTCACTTGTTACTTGTTGTAACGCTGCTCTCTCCCATAAAACCAAGAGAATTCAGGTTTCTCTTCTCCTGATTCATTTCAGACACGTCAAAGCTTCTTGGATGAGGTGAAACGTACTTTCAAAAATATCTGTACTCTTTCTGCCTATAGGGCACGTTTTTACATAATTGTGGATTTCTCCACACAGAGTGAATTGGAGTCAAAGGTGAGGTGACTACACGTCCCTATTTACCCGGGACTGTCCCAGGTTTGAGTCCTTTGTCCCCTGTCCCAGCAGATTTATCCAAAAACAGTGATTTGTCCCATTTTTATACAAGAAATGTCCCAAGTGTCCCTATTTTGGGCCAATTTGATCTAAACCAAGACTAAACTAAGACTAAACCAGGACTAAAACAGGACTGTCACAATTTTTGTCTAATTTGAACCCTGCCAACAGTAAAGAGGAGCATAAATTATCATTTGTTTGGCCAAAATCCACAAAAGCGTGTTTGCGACTGGCCATAAAGCAGAAGTCTTTCAGATTATGACTGACATGAGAATTTACAATGTTACACACTCTTTTCACAGTTTTATTTACATCAAACATCCCAACCTGGAGCTGTCCTAGTTTAGAATTTTGAAAATCTGGTCACCCTAAGTCAGAGTCGATGGATCCAGAAGGACGCCCATGTTCACTTCCTGTTTGGAACACGGTGGCTCGCAGGTTAGCTATGTCCATTTATATATACATTTATATATACATTTACATATACATTTACATATACAGTCTATGTACTAAACGTAGGTCTTTTTGTCTCAAAGCTAATGCTAATTTTGAGACATAATACTTATTTTTAAAAGCCTCAAATTGAAGCAAATAAAAACAATCAGGTTGTTTTTCTCTTTAAAATGATCCGTGGCCTGTTTTATATTTTACGTGTTAATAAGAGTTAGCATTAGCATTGAGCCACATTAGCTGCTGTGCACGGAGCCTATACACACATCAAGAATCTCAGACTTCTGGTCATTGCGCAATTCATACTGGGAAGGATTTTCTGAAAAAGTGAGCATCAAACCTCCATGTTTGATTTCCCAGTGGGATGTGTCTATTGACAAAGTCGATCTTTTCAAGTCTTTTGAACCATATCACTTTTGTTTGTGGTTCTGATATTGTCATATTTTAGTTTTGGGATTCGGACATTGTTAATTGTGTGGTTGTTGGATCCTAACAGCGGAAAACGGCTCGAGAAATGTGTTTGTGAACTCCATAAATGCAAAAGGGAATCAGATGTGTGTGACTCAAACCTCTGTTCAAACTGTTTCTCTTCCCAATGGAATTGAAAAATAGTGAAAGGCGAAGGCGATTGGCAGTATTGATCCACGGGAAGGACGAAAAGGAAATCTTTGACTGCCTAAATCAACCCAAGTTTGCAGTGAACATTTTGTATGTGGAGCCAACAAAGCAGGATCCCGTTTGTTAAGCGAGAGGTTCAGAAGACAAACAGACTGAGCTGCACTTTCTTGTTCTTGTAGTTTCACAGCAACATTAAGTCTTGGTCTCTTTGCAGTGGAAGGTGTTTCTTGGCGAACAGCTGGTGCCTCTCGCTTTGGCGCTGACTTTTTAAATTCGTAACCAAGACTGAGTGAGGGATCAGGGTTTTGCTTTGTTGGTGCTCCACATACAAAATGTTCGCTGCAAACTTGGGATGATTTAGGCAGTTTAAGATGACCTTTTTTGTCCTTCCCGTGGATCAATCCTGCCCATCGCCTTCACCATTCACTATTTTTCAATTCTGTTGGGAAGAGAAACAGTTTGAACAGAGGTTTGCAGTCACACACATCTGATTCCCTTTTGCATCTATGGAGTTCGCAAACACATTTCTCGAGCTGTTTTCCGCTGTTAGGATCCAACAACCACACAATTACAATGTCCGAATCCCAAAACTAAAATATGACAATATCAGAACCAAAAACAAAAGCAATATGTTCAAAAGACTTGAAAAGATCGACTTTGTCAATAGATGCATCCCACCCTAAAATCAAACATGGCGATTTGATGCTCACTTTTTCAAAAAATCCATCCCAGTATTAATTGCGCAATGACCGGAAGTCTGAGATTCTTGATGCGTGTATTAAAGCACAATCAGTGATAAAACGCATTACGATGTTAATCAATATATTTCAGGACTCAGGGTAATTGTGGCCCCGGGCGTCCCATTTAAACCCTTGATTATTTGACATTTAATCAATCATGAATGAAAAACTGTCACCCTAAATGCCTTGTCCAGCTCAAACGTTCAATCTTTTTTTTGTAAAGTTTAAGTATTTTTTCATAGTTTGGTTACTTTATAGTACTAACTTATACTAATATCATTGATGTTGATTTGTATTAATATAAAATGTTTTGTTCTATTTGTGTCTATATTCTTCTCTAGTAGATGTCAGTGACGTACCTGTTAGTGTATATTTTTATACTGTCAAAGCTGTAACGTTATTTTTCCACATGACAATAAAAGTTAACTGTAAAAGTAATTTGAAAAGGATATTCTCTTTGGCTTTCTTGAAGATTAGAAATTCAGTGAGTCAATATTTTGTTCAAATGGTTTCAGTTTAGATTCTCTCCAGTCAGATCAGAGTACATTATTTTACATTATAATAACAAATACCAGTGGTAAATCATTCAGGAATGGGATGGGAACTTGTTGACTAAGTAGTGAGGCTGGTCTTAGAGCTGAAACTTATCCTCTTGATAAACACTTTTCCAACAGACTCCAAAGAAGCACTATGTTTAGTTTTTTGGACTATAAGTGGCACTTTTTTCATGGTTTGGGTGTTTCCTGCGACTTATACTCCTTATACAAATGCAGCCAAAAAGAAAATCATATTATGCAGATCACAAGCTGCAAGTTGTGAAATCTGCAGCTGAAAACGAAAATCGAGCAGCAGAAAGAAAATCTGGAGTGAGTGAGAAACTTGTGACACTGGGAGGATGCACCACTTTCCTGGAAGTCACTGGATGAATGGACAAAGCCTGGACTTCAGAGACACTGAAACCATCCTGTTGGGATTCAGAAAGGCCCGAATAATTCTAACTGGAACTGATGCTGAGTCTGATGACAGCTACACTAGAGATGCACGGATGGGCTATTTTTTCATCCTCAACCGCGACAGCTGTCCATTTGCACCCAAGGTTTTGACCAATTTTCAAAACCGCACTCGCGCGCCATCCGCCCATTGATTTTAGGTTTTAGAACAATCATATAGCAAACAAACTAAGGAGCCTCGATAAAAATGCAAACTCTATAGCTTATTAATTCCAAAATTTGCTCAACGTGCATGTTTGCATTCTTAATTGTCCGTAACAAAACGCCGCTCGTTGCTCAGGGTTTAACTCCCTGTGTGGAACCTCACCATGCCACCGCGCCAGTTCATTACTTAAGAAACGTGGCTTTATTTGCCGTGATGCACTAAATAACAGGGCAATTGCTTCCTGACTCGCTTTGGTCGCCTTCCGACCGTTCATTTCACATACAGAAAAACATAGACACTCGTACACTCCGCGGGCCCATTCAAAAAGCGCGTGCCTCAGGGGCACACACGCAGTCACTCAGTCACGTTCATGCCACACGGCACTCTAAACACATCTCATAACACTTAACAATATACGCTATAATATACTGTATATATATTTTTTATTTGAGTAGTTAAACCACTAACAATTTAATTAGAATATTATTTTTCGTCACGTCATCCGCCCGACCCGTGGTTTAGCCACGGACACCGCGGCTGTAACCGCAATCCACACATCTCTAAGGTACGCAGAAGAGGAAGCGGTGCTCTGTTTACCTCTGGAGGTCACCGAGTTGTTCAGAAGTGACACCGAGGACAAAGAATTGAATGGATTTAGTGATTTGGAGTGAGATGGAGAGTTTGTTAAACTTGTTCTGTTCTGTTGTTTATGTTATATTTATCTGAAGACGTTAACAGTCTGTTGTTCTCTCTTCTATTGTTTTTACTAGAACTTGACTTTACACATGCAGGAAATGTCAG